AAAAAATGTGGCATATGAAGAATGAATGAGTGTAGTGTATCTTCAGTTAAATATAAAAACACAAACGTTTACTTGCACAGAATTAAGTATCAGCTATCATGTTAATGGTGAAAGTAATTCAATCACTGTATGAAGTGTTTAATCAAGTGTTTTATAATGCAGATGGCCAGTCTATCAGTGAAAGAATAAGAATCAGTTATAAACCACAGCAGAGAGGAGACACATCATTAACACAGACATCAGCTCTCTTTTATAGGAGGTAAAATTGCATTTTGGGGTGCATGTGTGAGGAGTCATGTTTCAATCAAACTTTAACTTATACGTTTAACTTAATACGTAGTCATTGTCATACACAGATACATACATAAAGTTGGGTCCAGTGGGTTTGTAGGATGACAGTTCGGCAGTTTTCTGAGCGTAGACCAGCTTAAAAACATATTTAATGTTCTCTTATGTCCCCTCTAGATCTTCATTGTTTTTATAGCCTTTTGTCCTGCAAGTGGTTGTTATGGATACAGCTTCAGCATTTCTCTGTTGTCATGGAAACCAATGAATATAGCATCTATGTTTGTACATATAAGCCCTGTGCTGGACTCGGCATCCATTTACTCCAGCATCCTCACGACCCCACAGAGGAGAATGCATCAACTTCTGATTATAACATTTCTATGCATGATTTCTCTGGGAGTTGAACCCATGACCTTGGAATTGCAAGCAGCACACACTCTTAAAACACTGAACATCAGAATTTCAGCTGTGCGTTAAGATAATGTCTTCCAAAACTTCAGTGTCTCTGAATTGTTGTGAACATTACATTCATTAAAAAATGTTGAATATATTTCTGGACATATGCAGGGTTTCCCAAACTGGGGTTTGTAAGCTAGCAAAACAATAAAAACAATCCAAATAAAATACTAACTAAAAAGAAAAATTTTATTTGTTCACCTGCATGTCATGTTAGCATTAATCAACATCAGAAAACTGTGAACATGCAAATATGTTGTTCAACAAGTTAAATGATTGAAATACTAGCTTAAAATTTAAGGGAACTTCAAGTAAATATTTTAGATAAAAGAGGTTCGGCTGCCAACAAAGTTTGGGAAAAACAGTTAATAATCTTAAGAGTAATAGTTCATTCAAAAATGTGATCATTCTATCATCATTTATTCAGCGTCACATCATTCCAAACCTGTGACTTTCTTCAGTGGGACACAAAAAGTGGAAAAGCTGTGATGGTCTCAGCAGTTCGGGGAGAGGTTAGCTCATTCTACCAGAGGGGAGCAGAGACGGTGAAGGTTTTGGAAACACGTACAGTGAAGGAACAAGGCGTCACTCGTTCAGTGACATTAATTGGCTCATATACTTGTAGGAATGTATTGAGGTGGTGTTCTTCCAGCGGAAGTCCTGCAAGTCAGCATCAAAACCTAAAATCTGAAGCCAGTGGAGTGAGTTTAGAGTTTAGTCCATGTTGGCTAATTGAGGACCAGACATGTTTCCACATTCTGGATCATCTGCAGAGGTTCAATTTGTATTCACGTCATGTCATATTTACAGTAATTTCAAGATAATATGACGCTCGACACGGAGCTGTCCGCATCCTCAGACTTGGAATTATGCGTTTCTATGGCAACACTATCATCACCAAAGGCTTGCAGAACTCGTAATTACAACTTTAAAGTTGGGAATGTTCTGAGAGCCACAACTTGGACCATGTGACCGCGGTACCACCTGACCACCCCAGATACATTTAGGTGCTAATTCAGAGTTTGAAAAGTTTAATTCAGGCACAATCTGAGGAGTAGAAAGTCACGTTATCTCGAAATTACAGTAATTACAACATGGTATGAACACAGCTTTAGTAGTGCTAGTTGGCTAATACAGCATTTCAGTAGTCCAGTCTTGAAATGGACAAGGAGCTGAACTGCATATCCTGACAGGAATCCCATGTACCCTTATGATCATGCACCAGCGAGGCTGTGTTTATGGAGAACAGGAGGGGACCAAACATTGCTCCTTGAGGCACCCCATGTGACTCCGGCATTCCTCTTCTTCAGTAGATCTGCCTGTGAGCAGGACATCATGATAACAGCCAAAGCCTTTTTTTGGTCCATTTGAAAGTGTTTCAGTGAAGAGACTCCTGATTGCTTACTTTTCTCAAACCTTGACTCTACACTCACAGATGAATATCATGCAGTCACAGGACAGCCCAACCATCACATCACATCTGTCGTCCACACCATCTGTGATGAACCCAGCGTAACGACGGCATGTTTGCTTCCTGAGCTCTGACGTCATTAAACACATGCACAGGAAACATCTTCAGATGGAAAGTCCAGCTGTCAATTCATGACCTTCTCATCAACATCAGGTTCAAGTTACATATGAGGCCAAGTTCAGAAGTCAGGTGGTGTTTAAAGCTTTATTAACTATACTATTTAACTAACAGAATATAGTGTAGCTCACCCATGTTCCTCAGACACAGCAGGCGTTGTTACAGTTCAAACGTACATAGCAGAGATGTGCTAGTCAGGTACATCCATAAAGCAGTAGATGTCAATGAATTCATGAACACATGATGTGTGGATAACAGCAATATTCAATATCATAAAGAGATTCGGGGCAAACTTGACAATAATACAGAAAACAAACACCTTATTACTGAGGTAAGGAGAAACATCCCGTTTAGCCGAAATCACAAATAAAAGACCAAAATAAATGGAAAAACATGAATTAAATAATGATGTTTGATGTCCAAGTCTTCAGTTTTACAGGAAATCTTTGAGATAATTTGTTCTTTCATGTAATCCAAGAGCTCATGAACAGCACATTTCACATCTGGAATGACAATATGGACAACATGAGAGGATATTACAGGAGGAAACAAACAAACAAAATACATAACATGATTATAAATGCCCAGCACTTAAAAAAAAAAGAAAAAAAAAAAGAACATTAGCGATTTCCATAAAAAGGCCACGAGGTGATGGATGACGAACTGAAGGATATCAACTAAAACGATGAAAAGCCCATGCGTCATGCTTCTACAGACGAACGTTTGGTTATGGTGATTACATTATGAACAGGAAGCCTGAACGATTTTGCTGATAAAAATGCATTTTTTTTTTTTGAATAGGAATCTGTTTGACAGCTCATCATATATATACACATATATAATGAACACATACATATAAAATAAAAAACCATGAACAAACAGGAGTCTGTCATAACACAGGAAAGCCACTGCGATCTGAAGCTTTATGATCTACGGACCACAAACAGCAGATGACATGCAGATTTCTGCTGGTGTCAAATCCACTATAATATCAAACTTTATACTGTAATATTAAACATCTCCATCATGGACAGAGACATCAAAAAGATCTTTATCAACTTATTCTCAACAGAAACGAACAACGACAGGCGAAACGAGGGACACGTCCAGTCAGAGGTGTGTTTGTGATGCGTGTTGTACAGGACAGGCCAATGAAAGCAAACACACAAACCCTCTGCAGGTCTACCAGCCGCTGTTGTCCCAAGAGTCCTCAGCCGCTTTCGACGTGCTCTTCTTGTCCTTGTCATCTCCAGCTTTCTCCCAGTCGTTGTCCCAGGTGTCCCAGCTGTCTGCAGCACTATTCTTGTTGTTGGACTGGTCTTCTGAGCTCCTTTCTACAGAGTTGCCGCTGAGAGCCGAGTTACTACCAAAGGTTTCCCAGAAGTCGCGCTTAGGCCCCTGGTTCTGATATCCTTCTTCATAAGCAGAACTGAAATCAAACATGCAAAACAAACAACAGTGTCTTTTTTTTTTTTGGGTGAATAGAAAGTTCAGAAGAACAGCATTTGCAAAGATTTTCTTTTTTTCTTCACTAAAACTGTCTAGGCGACCTAGAGAAACCAGACTTGGTGGGATCAGCAGAAATCAGACACTAGGTGGCGCTATAATAAGGATATAATATAATATAACTCTGCAATCGTAATCAAAATTATTTTTTTCCTCTGAATCCTTAACCCTCAAACAACAAAATCTATATCTCAAATTTCCAGTTGCATTATAAAAATACATTATATATATATAAAAAAAAAAAAGTTTTCGATCAAGTTTAACAGGTTAACTTAATTAATTAGCTATGAAAAAAATAACGCGATTAAAATATTTTAACGCAGTTAACGCACTGGCCCCGCCTCCAGACCTGTATGTCATCTTACATTTCATATAGTTGACTGCTGACAAATATGATTCAGGGCAACATCATCCTATGCCCTAAAATTCAAGATATTGGGGCAAAAATACTCCTGTATGAGTTTTTGTCTCATATTTAATATCACATGATATTTAATATCAAACGAATGCTGCTTATGTCCGAATACCACGAGTGCAAATGGGATTTTACAACAGTTCAGTAAACAAGAAGTTAATATTGTGTTATATTTTAAACACAATATTGTCTGTTTTTGCTCAATTTTGCCGACAAAAATATTACCTATAAAGCCACAGGCTTTAATATGACCATATTTATATATAAAGTAACGATAAGGCAATAATAATTGGCCTCAAATAAAGTATCAAAACCAAGTAAATGGTTTTATTGAACAACACTGTTAAATACATAATGCAAAATGCCTATATTATAACAAATACCTGCAGAGGGCACCAACGGCCTGGTGATGTTTCATGTATTTCAACGACGTTTAAATCCATTTCATTTTCATATTTGGCCACATGCGAAGTCAGAAACTTTTATTTTGAAATCCTCAACAGAAACGAACAACGACAGGCGAAACGAGGGACACGTCCAGTCAGAGGTGTGTTTGTGATGCGTGTTGTACAGGACAGGCCAATGAAAGCAAACACACAAACCCTCTGCAGGTCTACCAGCCGCTGTTGTCCCAAGAGTCCTCAGCCGCTTTCGACGTGCTCTTCTTGTCCTTGTCATCTCCAGCTTTCTCCCAGTCGTTGTCCCAGGTGTCCCAGCTGTCTGCAGCACTATTCTTGTTGTTGGACTGGTCTTCTGAGCTCCTTTCTACAGAGTTGCCGCTGAGAGCCGAGTTACTACCAAAGGTTTCCCAGAAGTCGCGCTTAGGCCCCTGGTTCTGATATCCTTCTTCATAAGCAGAACTGAAATCAAACATGCAAAACAAACAACAGTGTCTTTTTTTTTTTTGGGTGAATAGAAAGTTCAGAAGAACAGCATTTGCAAAGATTTTCTTTTTTTCTTCACTAAAACTGTCTAGGCGACCTAGAGAAACCAGACTTGGTGGGATCAGCAGAAATCAGACACTAGGTGGCGCTATAATAAGGATATAATATAATATAACTCTGCAATCGTAATCAAAATTATTTTTTTCCTCTGAATCCTTAACCCTCAAACAACAAAATCTATATCTCAAATTTCCAGTTGCATTATAAAAATACATTATATATATATAAAAAAAAAAAAGTTTTCGATCAAGTTTAACAGGTTAACTTAATTAATTAGCTATGAAAAAAATAACGCGATTAAAATATTTTAACGCAGTTAACGCACTGGCCCCGCCTCCAGACCTGTATGTCATCTTACATTTCATATAGTTGACTGCTGACAAATATGATTCAGGGCAACATCATCCTATGCCCTAAAATTCAAGATATTGGGGCAAAAATACTCCTGTATGAGTTTTTGTCTCATATTTAATATCACATGATATTTAATATCAAACGAATGCTGCTTATGTCCGAATACCACGAGTGCAAATGGGATTTTACAACAGTTCAGTAAACAAGAAGTTAATATTGTGTTATATTTTAAACACAATATTGTCTGTTTTTGCTCAATTTTGCCGACAAAAATATTACCTATAAAGCCACAGGCTTTAATATGACCATATTTATATATAAAGTAACGATAAGGCAATAATAATTGGCCTCAAATAAAGTATCAAAACCAAGTAAATGGTTTTATTGAACAACACTGTTAAATACATAATGCAAAATGCCTATATTATAACAAATACCTGCAGAGGGCACGAACGGCCTGGTGATGTTTCATGTATTTCAACGACGTTTAAATCCATTT